ATTATTAATTTTAAAAACTGTTGCCTGTTCCAATTGAAATAATTGATAAATTATCATTAGATGCTATTATTCTAGATACCTGCACAACATGGGGATTGCGGTATACAAATTAATATTTAGGTTATCCATAAATCAATAAAAATACTTAGAATTGTATTTATAAAAACCTAAAAACCGAATTTTACCGAATGATATTCAAATAAGTGGATTTAAATATTTTTAAACCTTCTATGGACAACATGCAACATTTAAATAATACCGCCTAAAAATCGCTCCATTTGTGTCTGAGATTACTCCAGATATCAATAAAAAAATTCCTTTTTGGTTTATGTATCTATATAAATATATATTGAGGTTCTAATGTCTTTTATTTTTTACACGGCGAACCCAATACATTTGTATTGTACATTATTATAGATCAAACTAGAATAAAATATACAAACTACTAGCTGTGCCGCGCTTGGCGTTGCCCATGCCAATTTTTCATTATTCTTACCTTTATTCCCGTTTTACTTTGCCTGTATCTGTGTGTCAAATGAAACAAATAGTTGGATAGTGAGTGTTACCATAGATATCCACAGTGGACAGGGATTAAACTATATGTATATCCACTATAATAAGGCTAAACTTATTAGGACATCATAGTTCTGTACTACTGTAGTAGTATAGTATTGTTACTTTACCAAAAAATACAAGGATTTAAGCTATCGTTTTACGTGTTTTCACTTTTCACTTATCCACCCAGTAGAGCACATAGTGTTTTTTTTTTTTTTTAATCCATGTTATCAAGTTAGTTCATCCTATTCCGAGCCAATAATAGACCGACATACGGTCAGATAGATTTTTTATTTTACTTGTTTTAGCATTTTAGTTTCCGTTTATTATTTATATCTTGTTTTAAATTGTTTTTCATTTTATCCGTGTAACTAAAATCACCTGTAATTCGAGAAAAAATAATTTAATTTTCATATCAAAAATAACTAAGAACCATTCAGCCCCATCTAGGTCATTAATTGAAATCCTATATTTTAAGTTGGAGAATATTACACATATTGAACATTATCCTATCAAAATCGGTTGAGTAGTTTCAGAGGGCATCGCACGTAAACTCGTCGTACGCGTGATTTTTATGCATACAATTTATAACCGACAATATTCAACATATTGTTACGATATTCATTAAAAATGTAAAAAACATTTCCATACACGCAGTATTATCATTTCAATATAACCAGTATAAAAAATTTATTTTTTAGGTACCAAATTTATGCAGTTTTCAATATAAGTTTATCAAAACGTTATTAACCGAATTTCTCTAAGAATAAACTCTATAAAATGGCTATCTTAAAATCGTTAAAAATAATAAAATGAAAAGTAAAAAATAAAAACTTTAAAATAATATTTAAAGTTTTTTACCAAAACATAAAAATAATTTGCAATATAAATATTTGTAGTCCTTATCTCTGTGAGTAATATAAAAAAACAGAATATGATCATCTTTATTATCTCGAAGGTATTATAATGATATCTTCGTGGGACATTTTGTATATATATATATATTTATTTACAAATAGTATTAAGTTTTTAGTATAATGCAGAGTGCCGAGTATTGGCCTGGTAAAAATTTAGTATTACGCTGGGTACCCGGCGCAGGGACGGAGTCTTATTTATGACATTTCGGATATTGAGTAATTGCTGGTTATTCGGAACATCTTTAAAGTTTGTAATAATTTAAACTGTTTCCATTGTGCCTGCTAAATAATATTAATCGATTCATGCATTTGTTTATGATAAATACAATTTTTAATAATTTTTGTGAACTTCGAAAAAATATAGAGAAATCATAGCGTAAGACTCTAGAAGTGTTAATACCAGAAAATAAATTTAAAATGTTGAACAGTACAAAAAGTTATTTGAAGTGAGTTTGTGTTACACTTTTTATATCTGATATTTTGTAACCGTATAGGTATAATGAAAAAGAGAATATTTACTGTGTGTGCGTTTTTAAAATTTTTTTTTTAAACATGTTGTTTATTAAAACCATGAATAATTAAATTGTCTAAATATTATTAAAATAATGATGGATAATTCATTTTTAAAATGACGATTACAGTTCATAATGTTTCATTCAACATTTAATAGATAAACGTACAATCATAATAATATGTTTATTTTATAAAAAGTGGTTTTCAGTTTAATTTTGTTGAACATACAAATATAATAATATTTTAATTACTTTTCTAAACGAAATTCACCAATGTTGTGTTGTATGTCAGATTGTGTTCCTTTTTTTTTTTTTTTTTTTAATATGAGTATTCCTTAATGTGTTTTAAGAAAATCTTCAATATCTTCCTACATGCTGCAACTAAGTTGCATCAAATATTCTCCTTTCTCTTTACATTTTCTGTTAAAATACCTAAAACTATCAATACTTGATACCATTTACCCAGTGCTCGAATTAAGTAAGAAGAAATATACCACTTAGGCAAAATTAGTGTGCTTTAAAATTATTGAACTCAACATAACCCGTGGGGGACTTTGCTAACTTTTTGACTACATAATAGATAATATATTTGAATTTAAATTCTACTATAAGAATTTCTAATATGGATCTACTAAGATATGTGGTTTTGTTATTTTTTTCGGTAAGTAAACACATATTCTACCAGAAATCTTGTACAAGGGTTAATAGATCATTAACTTAAGAGGTAATGGTTTCTAGTAAAACAATTTGATTCATTGGGAAATAAGGAGGATTTTTTAAAATTTAAATTGTAGTTTTTTTTAATTATGAGGTAAACCCTAGAAAAATTATAGGGAAAACTTTTAACTGTTACATAATATTTACAGTAACGGTTTCCGTAATGTCCTATATCATTTATTCAGTAAAAAATAATAATATAGGCCAGGAATTTTACAGAATACTTGAATAGGTAAGTAAAGTATTTTATATAGCTCTCTTCAGAAATAGTACAATTTTTAAAACATCCTGGCAATTTGTTCAGTTATTTATCTATCCATTTGAATTTGTAGAGTTTTTTATGATTTTATATGGTTTTGTGTGATTAAATTTGTTTTAGTCAATTAACAAAACAAAAGGTTCAACTAATTATACCTATCTATAAGTTGCTCTTTGTTTTTTTTTTTATGAGCACTTAAGGTTTAAATTTAAAAAAAAAATGTTTATTAAAATGTAAATTATGTAATATTAGTGTAACATATAAGAGTTAATCAAGGGGGGGGCATGGTGATGTACACAAAATGTAAAAAGTTATATATATATATATGCATAAAAATGTGTAGAATATAAGAATAACGTAAAAAAAAACACACCCCTAGGGGGTTAACCCTGTGATACATCCGATCTAGGTACTTTTTGGTTAGTTATTTATACTTGGATCAAATATGGGACATTTCTTCCATCGGTCGCGCAAAACAGTATTCATACCTATGATCACAAAAATTATATAATATAAACTATTATAATACATTTAATTAATATTTTCTTACTGCTCAATTGTTCAATAGGGTATAGACCTTTTTTACCGTCCTTTATTATTTCTTCGAAACGTGCTAAAATTTTTGTACCTGTACAAAATATAGTTATATTTATTATAATATTATAATTTTTACACAAGCGGAAATCAGAAACTCAGGTCAAGTATCTAACTCAATGGACTCATCTTTTTTATTTAAGGCGTTTGTATCTAACTCTGGCTTTTCTCTCAAGCAGGTTGAGTAAACCAGTCAATTCCTTTGCATTGAAAAATTTATATTAAGTAATTCTTCGTGAAAATTTCCTATTCATTTTGATTTGACATCGCTAGTTGAATAAAATGTCGATTTCTTATAATGCCAGGTGATCTATTAAAGTGAGTACACTTATATCCCGTAATTTATAAGGTTTTTATTATTATTTTTTGGAATTTGTTAGAAATTGGTTAGAGTATCATTTGTGTGGCGGTACGGTACGTAGCGCGTTAATAATGCACCACCACCCAAACATAAAAGTGGAATATCTCACCAATAGCTCGACAGAATTAAAAATTTTCAATGCTAACATTTATATTAACTTATATACCATATATTTATAGACTTTTTAACATAGGTTGACATTTAAAAATCAAAAGTAGGTAGTCGTTTTACCTTCAATAATGAGGGTTACAAAAAATAACAAAACCATAATATTGTAGAGCTGCTTGTTTCTGAAATATTCTAGAAAACAAATACCGAAAAATGTTATACATTCCGAGATAATAAGTGTACCTACTTAAATAGATCGCTTGCAATTTATATAAATTTCATAAAATGGTATTATAGATCAACTCGTACGATGCGTAAAAATAAAATGATAATTACGAGAGTTTTAAAATTGTAACTATATCCAAAATACCATTAGACGTTAGATTAGGTAATTTCTATTTTTTTTCTAAATTTAGGACAAGGGTTTACTCCTAATTCTGTCATATTTTAAACGAAATTGCGGATTCCAAAACACCACCCTTATATTCACCCTTACAGTTGGGGAAATGTGATACATATCTAACTTGAAAATTCATATTCTATCATCCTACAATTTAATATTTATTTTCAAAAAATAAAAAAAATGTTGGAAGGCAGCAAATTTGATTTTTGAATTTGGAAAATGGTTAATAGTTTAATCACATTTAAACAAACTCATCGATTTTTGTTGCACTGACTCTGGTGTCCACGGTTGTAGATGGATATACTACCGTCAGTGTACCAAAACGTCTAGTACATTTTACACTATATATTATGTACGATGGCTAATAATATTAAAATCCTTTATTTAAAATAATTAGAGATAGTCAAACAGTTGCCAATTCGTGTGAGAGCTTTATACTAAATAATACATTTGTGAATGATTTACTGACAGTTAATAGTAAACGGACACTGATCAACAAATTGTATCAGTGTGATAGTGTTAATTACGGACAAGTAGGACTTGGATTGGATCACTTGACAAAAGATATAATAAATATTACTACAATGCATCATTTTATTATTGATTATATATTTACATACATTATATGAATAACATTATTATAATTTTTTTTTTAGAATTTAATAAAACAGAGAAATATGTAATTATATATTTATCATATGTATTAATTCGTTTTTATTAAAATAAAACATAATAAACTGTGACATAGATGTCTTCATATCACTTAAAGATGTTTGACCTATAACCGCATATTTTATAAACTATTGAAAAATATAATAATTTGCATTATTTCAGCTCATTTTAAATTTTCTGTCGATTTCAATGGTCAACGGTCTAAAAATAAAACTAAAATTATCCACAAAATAATTATAATTTATCTTTTTAAGTGTCACATATTATTTTATCGTTATAATAAAAAAATACAATTTTTAGAATATACAATATTTGTTCATTAAAATGTATTATTAGTATTACAAGGTAACTCGAGATTTTAAAATATAATTATTGTACTGCATTGTTTCTGTTATTATATATATGTACGTTTGTTATTAAACCTAAAGGTAATACAATAATCTATATTGATTGTACGTTGATTCTTTTTCGATAGGTATTTTAATTTTCAAGTGAGTTTCGAATGGATGAAGCATTATCTAGATTTTAAAATTTTAGAGGTTACCTTTGGACCAAAGGACCTCAAACTCGGGATCGCCAAAAAATAATCAAGTACTTTGTACACAATAATCAAATATGGTATCTCTTAAGTCTACCCAAATCGATTAAAATAAACCGTTTTATCATAAAAATCGTTCTAAAAGCTTCTAACCGATTACCATATGATTAAAAACGGTGTCGAGCTTTTGTAAATTATTAACACACATCGGCGATTCCAGTAGAAAAATTATGATTTTTAGACTTTAAGAAATGATTGATCTCTAATTATAAAGTTTGTATGCATTTACTTACATTAATTTTTTCATCAGTATCTGCTTCTATAAGAGCGAACAGATTTACTTATTATTCTTGGTGGAGGTTGATCGTCATAATAACTAGAACTACTAGGATTATATGGATATTCTTCATTGGCTGGATATGGCGCTTCTTGGAGGTAATCCGGTCTATAGGCTGTANTAATTGTTTGAGAAAACTAGACTTTGAGTGTATTTTGAAGTTATATATTGGTAACTACAGATAGCTATTGGGACGTAGGAATCCGCTAAGAAAGAGATTTTTGAAAATTCAACTCCTAAAGGGGTATATTAGTGGTTTTTGGATATACTCGGTAGGAATATCTGATTGTACATTTATAATTTTTTATTATTCTAGAATTAACATAGTGTTACGGTATATAAAACAAATATAATTATTGTTATTACTATTATTTACACTATGAAAATTTCACAATTGATCACATTTATTCTGCCAAAGGTAGTCTACCCACTTTCCACCGATTTGTTTTCATTCAATTCTTACCCAGGTAAATTTCAAAAATGAATATAGGTAAAATATAATAATCAAATGGCACGAGCAACGCTGGGTGCGGAAAATCTAGTAACAATAATAATAAGGAAGAACCGTTGTCTCCAAGTATCATACCACCTCGGACACCTTTGTAGTTTCTATGTACTAGTACTCTTACGAAAAACTTATTTCAATAATATGATTTTTAAATTATTAATAATAATACTTAAAAAAATAAAAAAAATAAAATGAGATTACGGTAATTATTTCTGAAGCTTGAAGAACGAGACCGAGGAATAACCGGAACCGGAACAATAGCATTCGAATTATCATCATTTTTCATATAATCAGGGAGTTCACCTTTATCTTGAAAAACAAATGAAAATGTAATATTATATAGGATCATAATAAAAATTATATAGGTTTGTTTAATTTCATAATTTTATTTCAACAGATTAGTGTATTAAAATTTGTTAATATCACTAATAATAGTATTGTTATCAACGATAACAATAACCTTGTGTAATCGTATGCCTAATTGTTTGTTGATCTTTTGATTCACAGAATATAATGAAAACCATTATGAAGATATGTATTTAAGATGATATTACTTGATTGGAAATTATTCAAATAGACAATTTACAATAATTTCAATAAATTCCAAAAAAATCATAAATATTTTAATTCGAATTTTTTAGGAAAAACAAACGTTACATTTGTACTCTTACAAATATTTATTGTCATAGGCACAACTGGTGGATATTTAGAAGATCTTGAGCGCCCCCAAATTTATAATTAGGACCTCTATAATGATCCAATAAGTTTTTTTATAGTGTTGACTAAATATCAATCCTTACAGACATTATACATTAACATAACATATTACCATTTACCTGATGATGATAACTTGTATATAAAAAATAAAGTTAAAAAGTTACGATATATTTTTTTAAACAAATT